ATCCTTCATACGGGAAGAAAAGAACATTGTCAGATACACAAAACCTGAAAGAATTTACCAGCACAGATCTGCAAGAAGTTCTCAAGGGAGTGCTATGTCAGGAAAATTAAATACAGACACACAGAAATAAGAGTTGAAAAACTAAGAAAATGGCCAACTTAATCATAGGGACAAGTCTGGAGTGGAATATTATATCCGAGAATTTAATCAGAAAAAGTCGAACAACAGAAGTACATGAGACTGATTTGATGAAATAGAATTTTATGACTTTTGACTAAAACATTGCTGATTTTCTTCTAGTCTTTGTTGTCCCATTTTAAGGATTTGTGTCCTATCTTGAGCTATCCATAGGTTCATGTACCTACCTGGCTTTAAGTTTTAAGCAAAGTTCCTTAGCATGTTTTTGATTTAAGTTAAAACTGCTTTTCTTGAAATTACCTAGTGAACTTGTTATTGAAAGTAGTTAGATTATTTAAGAAACTGTGTGATCAATACAATGTGGGGAGGAAAGGAATGGAAGATAACTATGGACACCAGAGATAGTGTGAGAAGAGGGTGGGAAAGGACAGAGGGTCAGATATAGGGATATATGTGTGTGTGTGTGTGTGTGTGTGTGTGTGTGTGTGTATATATAAACTAGAAATGGAAAATTTTTGATGATAGCAGGCATGATTAAGCCTTTATGCAGTATATTCTGGATGGGAAATCACTTTATATGCTATAACAATGCTTAGGGAATGAATGTAAATTAAGTTTAAAAAAATGCTTCAGAAAAAATATATTTCAGAAGTCAATTATGTAAATTAAGTTAAAAAAGCTTCAGAAAAAAAATATATTTTAGAAGTAAATTATAGGACACTTGTGACTAGATTCTAGCTTTGTCCATATTTTTAGTTTAACGTATTTTGTGAATCAATAAAATATGGAAAAAGGTTTAGTATGGAAGGGAGAGAAGGGGAAGGAAAAAAATAAAAGTATGCCTAATTGATAAAAAAAAAAAATGAGAAGCTATTTGCTGATAAGTTAGAGAGTAATATCTTTGGCTTGACTTGACATGCATAGTATTTGTGCTGGAAAAAGAAATGTACACTTTGAAGATGTGGTTAAATGTAAATAAATAAATGAATTAAAAAAAAAAAAAAGCATCCAGGGACCAGCAGTTGGTGTAATGGCTATGTCACTGGACTCCCATGTAGTCGACCGTGGTTCGAGGCCCAGACCAGGTGGCTTAAACTCACGCCAGGTGCGTGTGCGTGCGTGCCCAGGATCCTGAGAGGAGAATGGAGGAGAAGGGATTGCGGTGTGGCCATCTCTCCTGGGGGGTGATTTCTCGCTTTCTATCTCTCTGTCTCTGTCTTTCTGGCGAGTGCACATGCCCTATAGCAAAAACCTCTCCAAAAAGAAAAAAAACCAAAATGAAATAATTACATGCTAAAAGAGAACAGTCCAAAACAGAAAGTCTACTTTACTACCAATCAGGAAGAACTAGCAAAGCTATCTAGGAACTTTTTAACCGACTGAGGAAGCTCTGTATTTAATATGCAACAATACATATGCCGCCAATGGCACTTCAAGGTGTAGAACTAAAATGAGAAATATGTAAAATGTGCAACATTTTCTCACCTTTTCATTTAATGGTTTCCTTAATGACTCAGGGACATGATAAAATTCAGAGTTTATTCTGTAACAGTGAATTTCTGGGGTGAGAGAAGTAGATAAGATTAGTCCTACACCATTATGCTCTAAACTGTTCAATTTCCTTACTGCTAAGTCTAGTTTTACTACCTTTTTGACCTCATTTCATGCTGACTGATTGTTTTGGTAAGTCAAATAGGCTTGGAAACCAGATAACTGCGTCTGTAAAGGTTGTATATTAAAAATGAATACACAGAAAATTATCTTGGATTGATTCCAAGGGAATTATACTGAGTGAAAAAAAAATTCAAAAGATTATTGAAGGGACCAGCAGGTGGCATAGTGGTTAAGGCGCTGGACTCCCATGTGGCCAGTCACAGTCTGAGTCCCAGACCTAGCTGCTGGAAACATGCCAGGAGCGTGTCCATGCGAATCTCTCTGGCAGGAGAATGGAGAAGAAGGATTGTGGCATGGTCATACCCACCTGGAGATGATTTCTCACTTTCTGTCTCTTTGGTGAGTGCATGTGCCCTATAACAAAAATCTGTCTCAAAAAAAGATTACAATGTACAAGTCTATTTGTGTAGTATCTTTGAAATGACAAAATTACAAAACTGAAGCATGAATTCGTGATTGTAGGAATTGGGACAGATTGTGACTATGAAATGACAGCATGAGGGGTCCTTGGTGAAACTGTTCTGTGTCTTGACTGTTGGTAATCACACAAGTCTACACAAATGGAATTGTCTAGAACAACTGTCTAAGTATGAAAATGAGGGCGTGCAAAAACTGTTAAATAAAGACAGGTGAATTATAACTGTAAATTTCCTGGAATTGGTATGCTACAATTATGCAAGATGTTTCCATTGGGAGAAACAAGAGGAAGAGTATATAGGAGGTCTGTATTCATGTCACTCTAATTATCTCGAAAAGTTTTTGAAGAATGAATGAATGTACACAAGGCTGACAATGGCAAGTGGTAAAACAGGGAGCTTGGCAAAGCACCCACAAGGATTCCTTAGATATATTTTTTTTTAGTTTTTTTTCGCTATAGGGTGCGTGTGCTCACCAGAGAGAGACATAGAGACAGAAAGCGAGAAATCACCCCCCAGTGGGGATGGTCACGCCACAATCCCTTCTCCATTCTCCTCTCGGGATCCTGGGCACGCACGCACACGCGCCCGGTGTGTTTTAAGCCACCGGGTCCAGGACGCGAACCGCGGTCGACTACGTGGGAGTCCAGCGACATAGCCATTACGCTAACTGCTGGTTCCCAGATATAATTTTTTTAACCTGCATTTACTGAGTTCCTAGAAAGGATCACAAAAGAAGCCATTATTAAATGAACAGCAGAAGTAACACCAATGCACCTTTTCTTCCTTCTGTCTTTTGCTAGAGGGTGCTTACATGAGAGGGAGAGAGAAAGCACTCCCAATGGAGCATGGTTAGGCTGCAATCCCATCTCCATTCTCCATCCTGTAAAGATTTGGGACCTATATGCACACTGCCTGGCATATTTTTCAAGCCTGGGACTATAACTATGCAGTAGGCATGTAGTATCTGGCTCCCTTAACTACTAGACCACAAGCTAGTGCCCCAAAGCAATTTTTACAGATAATTTTGTCTTATTTATTATTTAATTCGACCAGAAAGAGAGAAGAAGGGAAAGTGAGAAAGCAAGGTCAGAACTAGAACTGTTTCAACCAAGTGAGTCCAGCATCTTAACCACCATGTCCCCTGCCAGCCCCACAAAGCAACATTTGATGTTTAGGCAGCTCTAGCCCAACTACAGAGAAGGAGATCCAGACCTCCAGAGATGTTAAGAACCAGAATGGCTCTTCTTATATGGTGGCCCTTATTAAAAGAACTAAAATTGCTTTCCCAATAGGAATTAGTTACTTTCCCAGTTTATTAATAGGTGAGCAAGAACAGGGCCTCTAACTCCCAGTCCAGTACTCTCTCCACTGGACCACACACAGCTCTATGTCCCAGCTTAATATATACAGTGTCAGCACTCTGTGATTGAAACTGATTGACTAAAGGATATAGAAACACAGAAAATGGATGTAAATACCAGATACAGTGTGTGTGAAAGAGTAGGGTCTGAGGAAGGACTTTTAGAAGAAAAACAGAGAGGCAAAGCATTAATGGGACAAAAAAATGTGGTATTATCTGTTGAAGATATTTTATAGTTTTATCGACTGGACTAGGGAGAAATGTTCACGTGTTGAAATATCCACTTTGTAAGCTAAATAATGTGATGGAATATATGAAAGAAAATGAAATAAAAAATTAAAAATAAAAATAAAATAAAAACGTTGGTTCTGTTTCCAAGTGCTTCCTCTCCTTTTAGTTTCTGGAGGAAGGAATCATTTCTCAGTGGCGTTTAAATGATCGCAGCGCCTAATCAGCGCTCGGTTTGCAGGGAACACTTAAACCGGGCTCCCCCTCTGTTCTGTGGTCCTAAATCAACTGAGCGAGAGGAAAAGGAAGAAAACCCGACACGTAAGCTCGGACGGCGAAACCGCGGGATGAAGAAAACTGTCCTCTCCGAGGCGCCGTAGGGGCTGGGTGGCTGCGGCCTCGGTCGACGCCCCACCCCCTTCCACGTCAGCTGAGGGCTAAGGTGC